AGACCTACGTTTTAGAAGGATAACTTCAAACATTCTTTTCTTAAGTCATTGTGTTTATTCATTTACTCTGTGAAGTAAAAGAAATTAGGTTAACATATTATCCTAGCTAAGGAGGATTTGATAAGGAGTTTTTGTTTAAAATAGTTTAAAACTATTTTATATGTGGCTTGATACTTAAGAATCAAGACTGTCAAGGATATTTTACATTTAAAACTGATTTTTTTAGCAGAGAAAGTAGCTCAAGGAACTTAATGGCCTTCATTAATTTTGTTTCAGAGCTTTGGATCTCATTGTCTCTTTCTTTGATTCATATATGTAAAGAGGAAAATACATATTCTTGCTTTTTCAATTCCTAAGTAGTTTCTTAGCTGTGAGAGTACTACTATACAATGAATTGAACATACAAAATAAACTACAATAAAGAAATATTCTGCACCAGTAAAGGACATTGTGGCTGTCAGAAAACAGTATATCAGTCCAACAGTTTCTGTTTCCAGAAAAATTCAACTTGTGTTTTACTTCACTTCAGATTTCTGCAAGTATTACATATGACTTGAATAGTTTACATTTAACTGAAAAAAAACAGTTGATCTATGATCAGTACTTAAAACAGGTTGTGATCTGTTCTGATAGGCTTTTTAAAGTAATAACTACTAGATTATTTTTTATTTTATGTATACATCTGTAAAATTAATATATTAATACATTAATTTTACATATATAATTAAGACATTATATATAATCATGTATAAATTAAGAGGAAATAAAGCAATTTTTTTGTCTAGTCTAAACAGCATATGTTCAAAGTTTTCTTTGTTCATAGCCCCAGAGTTTGCAGTCATGTTCACAACAATAGATTTGGAAAAAGCAAAATCTTTCCTCAGTAGGGAAACTCCTTTGTATTGTCAGTACTCTGCCTTTTTGATATTCTGGACCATTTAAAACAACATGGCATAAATTTGTGCCCCTCTTCTCCCCCTTCTCTCCCTAAAATAACAGAATCATATGCTTCAGTACCATAATTTTATTATTTTTGGACCAAGAGACAGAAGGCTGAATGTTCTTAAGGAAGCTGCCATCTACTTAAAGTCCCTTTCAGGACAGTTGGCTTTGCTGCAGTCCCCAGCTGGTATTCAGGGATGACTCTGGATCTTTAGACTAATTCGCCTGGTAATGATGCTCTCCCCTCATTATGATTTCCACAGTTTTGATACAGTGGTTGCCATTTCTTCACGTGTTACTCCGCCTTGAATATATCAATACTCATCTCTTTTAAGATGAATCTCTCTGAAACATTAGTTTCATTCCAGATAACAGTAGTTTGTTCTTTTTTTATGAAATATGCTGAAAGTAATTTGACTTGATTAGATGATGGACTTCAGAGTAGTTTTCATTCATTTCAAGACTCGTTTCATATCTAGTACTTTATCTCATGCCGTCTTGGCTTCTGAGGCAGTACCTGTGAGGTGGGGCTTTTTGCTTGGTTGCCTCTTGGGTGCTGTGCACGATAGTATCATGAAATCAATCTTCTGCTGGCACAACTGCAGCCTGCCAAGGTGAGGAGATACTTGCACAATGTTGGTCTGTTTTCTTAAGAAGTGTGTGATGCAGGATCAGCTCTACGTAGAAAGCGGTATCAGGGCCAAGCCCCATCATCCTGGGATCTTCTTGTTTATCCCAGCAGATGGGAACAGTCTGACTCGATCCAGTTCTCTCCGCCTCATGGTGGAAAACCTGATATGATTTTTTCATGTGATTTTCATTAGAACAGATAGACTCTACTAATGACTATTTTTTCCGTTTTAATGTGGTGACAGGGCTGTCAAATAAACATTTCAGGGAATGTTGATTCAGATAAAAATTACATGCAAATATTTCCTGATATTTTCCATTCAGTGAAGGATTTTGTTATTATATTAATCTTCTTCACAATCGATTTGAGGTCTAAAAGACCTGGGTGTGTCTAGTTGTGTACTTATGTTTTTACATTTCTATAGGTAGTGAAGGTTGTCATCTAAGGCATGGCTCCAGGAGGGCAGCGCTGTGAGCTAAGCTAGAGTGTGGGTTTGAAGCACATAATCTGTTCAATGTACTCCTTCAGTAAATGCCTGCTACCCTTTTCTCCCATGCTTTCCACCTGCATTTGCTGTGGGACGGCATTATGCGTGCAGCCAGGTAATGCAGATAAGTTGATGTGCCCCAGCACTGCGGTCTAGCTTTGCAACAACTCGTTTTCTGTGGCCATACTGTAAACTTCCCTGCTTATGGAAGAGGCACTCTTTGTAGCAGGCAAATCCCAACGAGGGACTGAGCAGATATTCTTGAGCACATCAGTTTTGTACTTAGGAGATCATAACATTCTGTTATTTTTTTTCCCCCCCTGTAAGAACAGGATTTGGGACTTACACTTTTTAGAACTTCTATGACAGACAGTCAGTACTCTTACAAAATACTCTGACGGAACTGAGAGGTGATGTGGTGTCTATAGCAAAGCAGCAATGCCTGGGGATTCCAGGCATCACTTCCTAGCTTTACATTTACAATTATTTGTGAGGTACCATGTTCAGTGCCAGGGCTGAGATCTAGTCCTTTTCAATGTCTCACAGGTTTGTTGAGGGAAGTGAAGTACCAGGTTCTATGAGTTTGGTGTTGTAAAACCTTTCTGACTTCTCAGAATAATTCTGTGTCTATTAATTTGGCTTATGTAGCTGATTTACAAGCTTAAAGAGTGCTACTGCCCTTTTTCACCTTTAGTTGTGTTCATTAGAGAGCAATCGACAACGGCCAAGAATATCTTTGGCACAAAAACTTTGGCAACTTTAGGCATGTTTGGCAATGTCTTTGCTTATAGAGCTAAGCCCAGTGGTCTTTTCAAACATCAGCTTATCCAATACCCTTGTAGCTTGCTTGTCATTAATGTTTATTTTGGACAGCGTCTTTCTTTTACTTCTGGATGTTGCTTTTTTTCCATTCTCAGGCCTCTTTATTTACAGTCTCAAAAAAGTGTTTCAGCCCTACTGCCTGTGCTTTGGGCAACCTCTATTATTTCGCTATTCAGACCCAAGGAAAGTTTCAAATCATCTTTATGTTTATTCCAAAGGGAGAGCAGCTTCCATGCCTATCAGCGTGCCATAGCCTCTCATCTCTGTTGCAGCAATAGGTAGAGATTGTTAGTAGTAATGTTCATGAAAGCCTTTAAAATTGACAAAGTGTGCATGACACTCACCATATCATGGGGAAGAAATGCTGGCCAGAGACACTGAGGCAGAAGCAAATTGTACTCAGGAATAAATTTCTCCAGAGGATATTCACGGCCAGCCCCAGATCCGTCAGGATTTGGGAGAAATGGAATTATCCTTCCTGCTGTGAATGCCACGTTTCCCCCTGCTCTTCAGTTCTAGCTGAAGGGACTTCTAGACAGCACTGTTGAGGAGTGTGTAGTTAACACATCTTGAGGACTTAGCAAAAGGCCATTTTAACTCATGATTCTCGTTACTGCAGTTCAGTGACTGGCAGAAGTCTTTGTGTCTCTGTCCACATCTGCTTCTTTCGTGTAATGGCACCCAGAGTTTCAGAGCAGATATTTATATTTCAAAGCAAGACAGTTGTATTTCTCCTTCACTCTGCCTGTTTTATGTGGGCAGAAACATTCCCTCTTCTGTGGGTTTTCAGAAGCACTTTGTATCTGAATATCTTTGTGTCCAGAGAGAGAATAAAGAATTACCTAAGGAATGTAGGGGGATGCCCGTTACACTGACATCAAGAATGCGTATTTGCCCTTCTCACATCAGTCTGAGCTGAACCCATTAAAATACAATGATGTGCATATACAGCAATCTTGCGGTAGCTGCTGAGATATGCTCAGGTTTTCCGAGTCCCATGGTATCACTATGTGACGTTTGTGTTGCACTAGTCAACATTTTCCTGCTCTTTTTTTAAATGCAGGGAAACGTTTCTAAAGATGTTAATGTTTGTGAGAGTTTATGGACTTTGATTATTCAACTGGGCCAACCTTTGGGTTATGACTCAAATGTTTCTGAAACGATGTTGGTGGAAAAATTCATGGACTTGCTTTTGTCTCCTCCCTAGAGTATCCATTATCACCATACTAGAGATCTGGAAACTGACAGCTCAACATCTGGAACAAAGTCCCTACCAAGCTCTATGAAAGAGTATTTAAACCAGAGAATTCAGCTGCTTAGACGCCATGAACGAATTCTGTTGATTTGTAAAGAGCAGTCTTGTTCTGCTCTCTTTCTAAGTGTTTTGACATATCTTTAGCTGGTATAAATGAGCATCATTAGTGAAAAAAGCTTTTTAAAAATTCTTGAGAATTTAGCCACATATCAACAAAGCTTTTAAGCAGGGAAAAAAACAAACAAACAAACAAACAAACAAAAAAACCCACTCACCAAGCATATCAGTTATGTTTGTCCTGGCACTGTATCTAATGGATGTTTAGCTATCCTAACAGTACTATAGATTAGATTATTTTAGAGTTTAGGGATTTTCTCTTAGTATTACAATATTTTTTTATAAGTTGAGGCTGTCTTTTCCAGACAACACTGGCATTAGGGTACCATTGATATTTGTGACCCTTTCCTCAGTGCAGAACAGATTTAGCTAAGACATCTCTCTGTTTTAAGGACCTAAAAATAACACATGGGATCCATCTGCCTGCCGTGCACAGGCAGAAAGCAGCCTTCTTCCTTCAGCCTCAGGATGTTATCTGACTTCTTCTTAGGACCCAAAAATATCTGTTAAGAAACTAAAACCAATACCTTGCAGCGATTGCAGAGCTTCTGTAACTTATTTCCAGCAGCTTTATTAGGATGAATTTGTGTGTTATCCAGTGCCTGATCTGGTGGCCAGTTTTCCCAGTGTGCTTGGTAATGGTATCATGGAATAGCATGCTTCACAAGATCATTTTTATTTTATGCTGTATTTTCAGGAAACCAATTCGTTTTGCAGGTTGTTGGTTTTTAACGGGTATTGGGGAAATGGGTGAGGAGTAACTGGGGCATCAATACACATTGAACTTGTAGATGTGTTATCAGGTTATGTGAAAATCATTCCTGTTATAGAGTGAATATTACAGCATCACTGCCTGTATCACACCCATTCCAGGATTTCTGAAGGATTCCTGGTACTGTTATTTGTTATTGCTTGACAAGTACAGTCAGCATGAGCTAGGGTAACTTGTGCAGGTGGAGCCAGTTCTGGTACCCTTATTCATTGAAAGACAAACATAACTACTGCTACAGAGTGGACAGGGTTTCTGAAACACTAAATAACACATACTAGCAAAGGGATGCTTTGCATCACTGTAACTTGGTCAGGATGCTCTCCTAGCATTAGCTTCTTATCCTGGTGAAATTTACATTTTGCTCTTTTGCCACCTGCTGAGTATAACTGAACTGTGAAACACAAACATTCTACTGCTGAAACACTAAATAAGTGCAATAAAGTGGCTTCTCCACAAACCATTAATAAAATTTTAAAAAGCCTCACCTATCACACAAAATACTAAAATGTTTAATTTTTCATGTTTATTTTTAGTCTTGGAACTGAATCAGGTGATTATTCCCACTTATGGAACTGTGACAGATCAGCAGAACCTTCATACTCCTGAATGGGTAGGTACTTCTTTACTTTAACTATGACTACCTGTCATTTTTTCTGGAATAGATCGACAACAGTCAGTAGCTGTTCCAGAAGACTGACATTCCTTTGCGTTTGCAGCACATGCAGTTCATCTGTGTGACTGAATCTGAGTTGCTGTGTCTCTGTTTCCCTAAATGTACCTGAAGTCATTGACTCAGAGGTGGAAGTGCAGGTTGACGCAGGCACTGGACTCGATTAAAAGTGACCAATATGCATTCACTATAAACTGATACACACGCGTACACCTCCTTTCTAGATATAATTTTGTACATGCATGTATAGGATTTCTGTGTGTATATACAAGGATAAATAGTTATGAACACGTTACGTATCAACATACATACTCTATAGGTTCGTACACAGCAGGTCTTAGTTGGCCGACATGTGAGTTCAGGATTTGTTTTTACAGAAAGCTTAGAGACACCAAAAAATCCCTTACTCCAATCAGAGAGTGAAACGGGAGAAAAAAACCTGGAGGTGTCCATTCCCTTTATCCAAAGTTCAAGTCCCCCAGCTTGCCTAATATTTTCTGCAGCTACCAGGTTTCTGGCTCTAGCTCAAGATCGCCTGCCTCAGATCTCATTTATCTCTGAGGGCTGGCCAGTTGACCCCAACAAGCCCTGTCATGGCACATGCTTTGCCAACCTGATGCCCAGTTGGCATGCTGAGGAGTCCAATTTTATTTTTTCCTCTGGAACAATACAAGTGCAATCTGCAGTTGCACAAGGAGATAGCTATAAGCCTGGATTTTAAAAGATGTAAAATCATATATTTATCCTAAAGCTAATACAGCAACTCCATATAAATCAAAAAAAAACTGTTCTGTGTTTCATTACTCTAATGATAGAGGTTAGTGTCACTGGCTTTGGGTGTGTATAGATTGTCTTTTCTAGTCAAACTACTTCCAAAAGTGGATCACTGTTACAAGAGGAAAAGACACAGAGAAACAAGTTCAACAGTGTCAAGAGCTGCTTGTTGGACTAATTAATTTTGAGCACCTAAGAGCTTCGTGATGGTTCTCACATACAGAAATCATTCAAGAAACCGCTGTAATGGTGCCACCAAGTAATGAGAGCTGGAGCAGGTTCCCAGTCAGCTCAGTCCAAGGGGACATATAAACTATCAGATATTTACAAATAATGGAACCTGCCTATGCGTTTCTTTATTGCTGTCTACTAGATCCTACTCCAGGAATGACAACATTCTACCACTGCCACTGGTTATCCCTCTAGCTTGCACAGAGGAGGTCTGTGTTGTGACTGTGGAGGTCCAGATCCTGGTGATTTCTCTGCTCCATTTCTCTGTCTATAAGGAAATACACTGATTTCTTTATATAACGAAGAGAACATATAATACAATGAAAAACAAACTGAAAATTTAAAAGATGGAAAATGAGTATACAAGTTCAGGCAAATGAATTAAGCCTGCTCTGTCTTATATGATTATGACTGGAGCTGTTTAGATAATTTATTGTTCAGCCTGGCCACCAAACCAAAAGCTATTTTAATTCATACCAAAGTGAAATGGAAACAGAATTGTAAAAGAAAGAGACAAGGATTTCTGTGGTGATAGGGCACTTCAAAAGCAGTGTAAATGAAGGGATAGATTCAGACTTCATTGCACCAAGGTGCACCAGAGCCTTGAGGAGCTGCTCTAGCACCTTAGCTGGCAAAGTACTTGTCATAGTTATGGGTCAGGGCGGTTTGTTCTTGTCTCTGCTGTAGGAAACAAATACCCAAAGTACCAGGAAATTAGTTTCCTTCTGGGAGCTGAATAACCTCACCTCCCCTGCCACTGCCTCAGCATTTTGCTGCAGGGTATTCTTCCTTTGAAGCTGCTTCGGTCTCTGGAAAAATATTTAAACATTTTTTGGAGTGTGAGGTGCAACCAAGAGCTTTCATTTCCCAACTGAGTGCCCTGACTAGGATGTTATAAAAACCCTTCTTAGACTCAGCTTGTGGTTCAATGAAATTTTTTGTTACATATTTCTATGAAGTGAAATAGCATCAAAAAAGCTGGAATGTCATATACCTTGTAGTTAGAACAGTCTCCTCTGAGCAGTCTTGGTGGAATGTATTTTTATTTCTACTGAAAATCGACTGTCAAGATCAATTTTTATTTTTGGTTACTCATGTTTACCAGCAGTTGTAATTTCTGCTCAGTTTTAGCAGCGTCTGTTCTGCACCACTCCTTCCGTGTCAGGTCCTACTTGTTGGTTACTGAACAGTTTCAGTGAGCTGGGGGGACCAAAAAGATAAAATTGAGATCTATTGAGCCTGCCTGTGAACTGGATGAGTGCTAATTGTAGCTAGAAATGGAAACTGCATAGGAAGCCTAGCCTTAAACGATTGAATAGAAGGGAAGTACTGCACCTGTTGTCTAAACTTAGATCATGCTTTGCAGCTGGAAGTATTCTGGAAATTTGATTTGGTTTTGCAAGTCGTCCTGGAGTAGCCAAAACTGGGTAAGTTATTGGCTAATAAAGCGGCCCTGTTCTTATGGTGCTGCCTCTCATTTGAGGATCACATGCTAAGTTTGTCGTGAGATCCCTGCCTCGTTTGGTAGGACATTAATCTCCAAAAAGCCCAAATTCTGTGAGGGTGTTGTTTGTAGTACTTCAGCAAGATGTAAATGTGGAAGGAAATTGCAAGGAAGGAAGGAAAGGCTGTTACAACTAGAGAGACTGAGTTCGGTCCTAAATAATTGGATTTTATCCCTGCTCCTGCTACAGGGTTTCTGTGCAAGACTTGCAAAGTCACATCCGGCTTTTGTGTATTTCCTGAGTGTCAAAGGGGAACATCTGTGGCCCTGTTTGCAGTAGTTCAAAATAGTCATGTACAGACTTGAAAGTGAGCGTATTGCCCTTTGAAGAGAGATAATTGCTGACCTCTCTGGAAAGATGTCACTGTCCTGGTGTCTCAAGCTAGAACTCCAAATTTAGGAGACAGGCAACAGGTTTTGGCATTGATCTCTAAATGCCTTACGTGATCACTGTTAAAATGAGGGTTACACTGTTACTTTGTCTCCTGGGGGATCTTGTGAAATTAAATTTCTCAACATTTGTAGAACATTGAGATTCCATGAGGAGAGTACCACAGGCATAATCAGAAGAAAATTCTTATTTTAAGCATTTGGGCCATTTAGATGAGATGTAACAAAAAAAAGACACTGAATAAAGAAGATAGCAAGGAGTGTTCCATAACTACTATGAGGAGCATAGAAGTATGGCATGCAGTTGTGCAATTAAGTCATGAATCATAATCAATATGTACAAAGAAGACAAAACTGCGTAGACAGCATTAATTCAAGCCTTTTCCAGCTCTCAGATGTTTCATTTTGCAGTCTTACCTGCCTTATAGGTAGATAGTTTGAATTTGGATGTAACAGTAAGATTTTTTAAGAGTCAACATCTGCAGAGGGGAGGATAACTTCTTCAAATTGTGTATTACTGCTGCCCGTCAAATACAGTTTCTGCAGTGAGAAGGCTTCAGGAAAGTCTGAAAGAGTGAATTTCCCAGCTCCTGCATCCAGAGAAGGATGAGAGGTGCTGAAAAGCAGGTTTTCAGCAGAATACTCTCTTCACCTTTCTTTAAAAGCAGGGACATGTGGTCTCTCTCTAATCAGGAGTGACTGGAATTCCTTCTGCAGCCAGCAGCGACCTGACGCTCAGACAGGAAGTCAAGTGGGTGTCTGGTCCAAACTTAGCACAGGGGACAAGGCATCCCGATGCCTGGCCAGTTACCAACCGCTTTCTGCTGGCAGAAAAGTGTGACTGTAATGACGCCCCATATTTTCCTACTTCTTCTTTAGTCTCAGTTTATTTCAGTTTGTTACATAGTAAAAATTTCTTCTCATGTCTAGGAAACAAAGCAAAAATCTTGTTCTGATTAAGTGCTTATGAATAATCTCATTGTTGCTAAAACCAGAACTAAAAGCCCCCTGTTGTTATTAGCAAATATGAGTCACAAGGAAAAAAGTCAAAGACACAACAGTTTGACAGCCCTATGGAGACAGACCAACATAAATATGTGATATGCAAATAAACTCATATCTTCTAGAAGTATATTATATATTTTATGTATCTTATATCTTCCAGAAATAAATGCTTGTGTTGTTCTTAAAGTCAGAAAATTGTCTCTGTTGGTAAGTCAGAACATAAAGTAATGAAAGATCTTGTTATATAGCTGTGATAGTAAGAAGAACTTTATATTTCTGTAACATTTCCTTCAGATGATCTCAAAGCACTTTACAAATAATTATGTTTCATTATATCCTGGTAATATAATTTGTTTCCTTTTTATTTACTTGATTTGAAGTTTCCTGATGCCTGTAGAGAGAAATAACTACGCTCCTAAACAGGCACTCTGAAATTTTCACCTACGTAAAACCCACAACTGAAGTGTAACCTGCAGGTCCCCCACAAGACCATCGCCGTGCTCCAGCCCGAGGATTTTTTTGCAGGTGCCTGTCAGCAGAGGTGATGTTACACAGGCTCTGCTCTGCTTTTGTGTTTTCCAGTACTGATTTATTCCCTGGCATGCTGCAGGAAGCTGTTTTGAAACATATCTGAAAATTATGTGAGGTTGCAGGCAAGCAGTTTATCCCTTCAGTAATGATTACATCTGGTGCTATTGACAGTCACACCGAAGTCTCATGCAGGCAAAATAAAGCACTTCTTTTATCCTTCCAGTCAGATAAGTTGTTCCTGTAGAATCTCTTGTTATTTAAAAAAAAAAAAAAAAATCAGCTTACAATACCATGCTTGTTCAGGGTGCAGTAAACAATAAATAACTGCAATTCCTGTGCACATATTTTCCTTCGTGCTTGTCTCTGTGCTGCCCTTCCCACCATCATCCCCACCATGTGTTTAACAATGTCATGCCCAGAGAAGCCTGGAAAAGTGGAGACAGGTTTCTTTGTAATGCCACCGTTTTTTCTCCCCTGACATGGAGCGTCACTGTGGCTGAGGGAG